ATTGAAACGATTCGCAGAAGAACCCGAAATTGTGGCTCAAACAGCTCAGTGTGAGCTGACCATAATGTCTCCATTTCATGGCCAATAAAGAAGATCCCAAGCCCCCGAAAACTCCCGAGGACCGTGTGTTGCCAAGTGCGAAAACATGCAGCTATTCTATTCATATAAATAAACACGCATATGTGGATGTGAAAATATATGTTATGGAAAGATAGCTTGGCAGCCCATAACCTCACAGAGTGTCTGCAATAAGCCAACAAAACGAAGAAAAAGCGACAAATGCCAACAATGGGGGTAAAAAGTGGCCAAATAAAATCCATAAATCGCCAGACAATGCAACAGACTTGGCGGACAAAGCGGGTGAAAAGTAATAAAAATAGAAGTTGTAAACCGAAGAGGTCCTGGCATCCGATGTGCCAAACACGGACTTCATTTCTGCAGAGAAATGCAAACGAAAAATGCATCTTGTTGTGAGCATTTTCGGACTTATGCCATCTCGTCCATCTCGCTTTTTAATAAAATGTGCCAAGCTCAACTCAAGTCAGGTTGGTTCTGCCGGCTTAAACTGAGATGCGAGCTGAGCTCACTCAACTGTAGTTATTGCTATTCTGCTTCTGGCCAGATCCCCAGACCACGGGCAATATCAAAAGCTGTCGAATCTGGCCGCAGAGCAGCCAAAAGCACAGGACATCGCCCACACTCCCATATTCCAACAGCACTTGACCACATTTGAAAAGAGTTATGAATATTACAGCAAGGTCTGCTGGAGAAATGTGTATGGGGGCTACCCTATTTTTATGACCCCAGTGTGTGTATGCATACACATGTGTGTGTGCGGTTGAAATTGTTATTTTCCTTATTTATTTCAATTTATGAGATTTTTATATGCGCACTTCTGTGGCTTCAGTTTGCATGCATGTCGAGCTGAGTATATTGCCTTCTAAATAAAGCTTTTTTTAATCAAATTTATTTGTAAATAACAAACCCTGGGAAGTCCGTAAATTCTGGAGAAAATAAGCAACCCGATACCAATCAAAATTAAGGCCTTGGTCTACTCTACTCTAGTGGTCTTCTGTAAACTTAAGTTCTGTGTATTATGAAGTGCAAACTGAGAGACTTTTGTATTCTTGAACGTTTTAATCTCGTTCAAACAAAAACCAAAATCCACTGCTGGTTTTCTAGGTTTAAATAAGGTAGTAGCTCTTAATTCCTAATGAACTTATCCCATCACTTTTTATATTGATGGCCAAGATGAACTGAAAACAAATCTAAAGCCAAGTGCAGCTGGAGATTCGGGTAAATGGAACCCTAACAAATTATCACATCCATTACTTGGCAACCTTCTAAAACCATTCGGAGATTTGGAAACCCAACTGCCATTGCCACTAATTCAATTTCAAGGAACACGCGGAAAAAGACAAAACTGAAAAATCGGATGGGGAGAGTTATATGTATATATGTGCAACTCAGTGAAAACTAGTTTAAAGCGACTGCAACTCGGTCACGAACTGCCATAAAAAGCGCAGTGAAAATGGGAAAAAGCGAGAAAAGTACGAAAAGAGAGGGGCGGGGAGATCGAAGACTACCGAGAGTGTGTATTGGAGTTGATATTTGCGCATCAGTGAGCACATTGAACTGTCAATGCCAGAAAGAGGAGCAGGCGAAGAATAAGTTCCCTGGAAAATGAGGGGAAAAGCGGGCGAAACCTTCGCCAATGCCAATTTATCAATTGCAGTTGGCAATTGACAACGACGAACCCCGACGACTAATGCAGCCATTGCCGTTTGACCCGAGGGCTGAGTGCTCCAGCTCCTCATCATGTGCGTGTTGAAAAAGTAATTACATCGTGGACTGCCAACAATAAATAACAAAGGGGGCAAGGATGGAGCGACACAGTTTTTATTGCAACTTTAAAGTGTCATTTTGGGGCATAAATATTCCCCACAAAAAGATCGCTCCTTCTACTTCTCTCTTTCCAACTCCGACTCAGGCATCTACGGTTTGCTCAGTCTGCATAAATCAACGTAAATGAATGCTATTTAGTTGATGGCACAGGCAGGAAATGCGCCGCTTAGCCAAACACACTCACAAAGATGCACACGCAGGTTCTTAAAACTATACACAAAGAAAAAAAAATGGAAAATGATTTTTTATAAAAATTATAAAAAGTTTATAAATAACTTCTTCTAAGCTTCACTTTTTTTTCTACACTTTGGAATGTCTTTAAAGATATTCTGTGATTTTTATAAATGACACCGACGGAAGTTCACGTCGAGTTGCACTTTCTCCAAACAAGTTTCCCATTTTTAAATGAGTATGCATGTATTTCTAAGAGTGCACACTCACAGCAGTCTCGGAACTGGTTACAGTTACAAATGCAGTCACTGGCTGGCATTTTCCACATGCATTTCTCAAATGTGTACGGAAACCGAAGCCAAGTGCAGGCGGAGCGGAGTGGAGTGGAGCGGCGAGCTGATGTTGCCAACCGAAGAAAGATGGCCGACGGAGAAGTGCAGAAGCCGTTGGCTGAGATCCCTGTGTGTGTCTGTGCTTGGCACTTCCGTTTGATATTAGCCAACGCTCCTCTTCGAATTTAGTCAACATCCACAAACAGGGGCGGAGGCATCTGAGTTTTCGGAGGGCTAATGCATTTCTGCGGTTTCGACCAGACTTCAGGGGGAATGGTTCGGCAGGCATTTTGTTGTGTCTCGTGCAACTGAAGACGTTTTGGCCTGCCGGCCGAGTGCGGGGCAGACTGGCATATTTTGCATACTTTGGGGCTAAATCAGCAACGCCCATAAATCCAGTGCGGAAGTGCATGATATAGTTACGCCGGCCAAGTTGAGCGGCCTATCGAAATTCGATACGATTCGAATATAATGACACCGCCGAAGCCGTTTTAGATATCTGCCGAAGTCGTGCATTAGTTCTGCATTAGATTAAGCAGATGCCGCAGGAAACAAGTTTCGTTTGTCATGCTGAGTTGCGGGGATTTTATCAATTCGATTTTGTAGTTGACTTAAAAATGAATAAATAAATGAGATACAATGTTTTTTTTTGTCTCTAGCACAGTCAATTTCGTAAAACTTATGCATAATTCAATTAACAATATTTTAAATCATTTCAATCGTAAAGACATAAAAAAATCTGGAATCAAGAGTTACAAATATTATAATAAACACGCTGCAAAAAATGTTGAACATCATTTTGCCGGTTAACACAATAAAGTAGAATCTGTTTATTCAGATGCATCGAGGCTGATCAAGTTTTCAAACAAAAATACCATATTTTTTCTATAATTAATGCCATAAATGTGATAATTAAATCGGCTTATCTATAATTTTTTTTGCAGGTAAGTGAATTGAAAACCTTGAACAGATTTCACGCAAGCGTAAGTACGGAAAATAATAACATATTTGAATTTTGACTTTCGCTATTGTTTGTGATATAACAAAAAGTCAAATTCGCAATGCAAATAAACTGGGCGAACTGGGGAAATTAAATAAAAAAGTTGCTGATTTTTAAAGTGCCACGATGGGCCAGTGTGAAGGGTTCCGAGATTTTCCGACAGGCGTTGTCCGGGGCTTTGGATAATGCCTTTGACAGGGGCGAACACTCAGGTTGGGGCGTCGACAACATTGTTTTATTAAATACAAAGTCAATGGCCAGTGCCACCCATACATGCTCGTGTGAACACACACACACACACGTACACACCTACTGCCACCCGCACACGGACTCACACATGCAGACATGGCCGCACTCTGACTCCGGAACGGCTTAAATCATTTTCCAACTTTCCACGTATTTCTTTTTTCCATTTTGGTCCTGGCCTTTTATTTTTGTTGGGAGGCACTTAAATTATGCAACAATCGTTACATACTTGTACACATGTACTGGCTCTCACACACACACACGTACACAATCATGACTTATGGTGACATTTTGCAAGTCTCATAAGTTAAGGCTTTAAGTAACAGTTTATCCCAAAACTAAGGATAGGAAATGCAGTATTTAATTAAAATTCTTCTCAATTTAGAATCTGTTTTCAATATACTTATGTTAGAAATAACTTATTTAATTGATTTGCCATTTATAAGGATTTTTCGGGATTTAACCTACGACAAATGTTAACAGTTAACCCTCTAAGCCCCAAGAGTGCCTTGAGGCACTCATTTCACATGCGTTTTTGTGGAAAGTGGCATTAGAGGGTTAACAGATGAAGAGAGTTTGGCTTAAGTTTTGCCAAAAAGAGAGAGAATTGTTATTATGTTTACAGAGTTCTGTAGTGGTTGCTGGAAAACGAAAGTCTGTTTGAATAGATTGCTCTTAACGTTTTAAGAGAGCCATTCTGCAAGAGAAGTTAACATAAATTGAATGTAAGTAGTAACTGTTAAAGGAGTCTTTTGTTTTTAAAATAAATCAAATTTAATATTAACGATGGAGCAATTGAAAAACTTTTTCTCAGAATAAAAAAAAACTCCAGAACAACAATTATATAAAAAAATAAATCATTTTTTCAATAACACTTTTGTGTTTCAAAGTTAAGTAGGGCCTACGCTTTTCCATGAATTTCCCTATACTCAACACATTTTCTAAATTTAGAATAAATACAAATACAAATACATTTCCCAATGAAAAGTCACTTGCTTCCTCAACTTAAAGTTCATTGCCTACTTATGAGGGCCATATTATTTCCGCCAACTTGCTTATCCTGACTTGTTGAGTTAGCAGCGCAATGCTTGACCATCTTCGCTGTTAACTGCCGAAGCCAATCCGCAAAGAGAAAATGTCCTTTTCCGCGAAAGCCGGCTACTGGCAACCTACTAACCTACTGAGGCCTCTCCCGAAATCGCCTTTATCACATTAGGAATGTCCTTTGGATAGCAGTAAGTGCCACTGTAAATGCTACTGTACAGAGATGCCCACTGTACAGTGCAGCATCCCGACGACGAAGTGGCAGGACCCGTTTTCAGTACATTTTGAGTTGTTGACGGCGGTGTGCGCGTTCTTCGGCATCCGAGTGCCCGGCAATGTGTGTGTGTTTTCCGAGTGGCTGAGTTGTGAAAAGCATGAAAAATTACACCCAAATGTAAAGTTGGTCTGAGAGGCGAAAATCCAGAGGTCCTTTTTCGGGGCCACACAACTGAAATTATTCGAGGAGATAAATTATTTTAATGTGATATGATAGCGGAGAATTTATACGCGACGCGCTGATAACACACAATTTTCCATGGCAATCATTTTTAGTCGAAATAAATAATTCAAGGTATTAAATTGAAATGTTCACGGGCTAGAATGTAACGCCGTTTAAATGCCAGTTTATCACAATCGATGCGTGCGTGCGATTGCTTTAATTAATATTCATCCAAGCGGCGTGCTCTTGTGATGATTAATGGAATATGTAATCAATTAACTACAAATGGTTAAAGAATGGTGTCAAACTATCCGAGGAATTTACACGCACGTGCACATTAATTAAGCAGAGTTTTGCGCGGCAAAACGGTGTGAAAAGTTTTGAAAAAGAATTTGCAAAACCTTCCTAGTGCGCTGATGTGGAATATACAATTTTTATGCAAATAGGAATTTAATTAAAAGTAATAAAACTAATTACAAAGCCCGCTTGAATGCATAATATGGTTCGGAAAACGACGGGAAAAGGAAAAAAAAATGTGCACAAAATATTGAAAAAAATATGCAAAAAAGGATCAAAAATCGTTGGTTAGAACTAAAATAACTAAAACATTGGTAGAGTAAAGTGATTAGCTAGGATTTAATTATAAAATCGAATTTATTTCGAATCAGCATCAAAAATATGAAATATATAATAATGATAATAAAGTTGCTTTATTGACAAAAAAATATTTTAAAAAGCCATTAACATTTATAGCAAAAAAAATACAGCGATGGTGTATTATTATTATTTTTTATGATAAACACTTTAAATTACTTTTTTTATATCTATAATTAAAGAAAAATTTCTTGCTTAGCTTTTTCCTAAACAAATGTAATTGGTTATCAGTTATTTTAATCATGGTGCAATTGCAACGATAACAAACCCATAAATATGCGATAATTATATCTAAAATAAGTGATTTTAGTGGACAAATAGTTGAATCACTCCACCACAGGCTTACGCCTTGTATAATGAACTGTGAAAGATAAACAAATCGGCCTCGGGGCGAAGTCAAACAAATCTAAACGATTGCATACGAGTAAATATATAACAAATGGTGCGCATAACGCAAACAATTATGGACAATGCAGCAACAATGTCACAACATCGCATTCGGGCCACAAATCTGAAAATACTAAGCGGCTTAAGTGCCATTTATGTTATGTACACACAGTGTCAGTCCCAAAAAAATCCCATCAGAAACATGATTAATCTCAATTTATGGCATCAACGGGGGGAAAGGGGGGAAAGACATCCAGAAATCAAAACTGTTAAAAAAAAGTTTCGCTCCTGGAAAGCGCTAACGATCATACTAGCAATCAATCAATCAATTTATCAATCAACACTTTGTGTTTAAGTGGAGCAACAGATCCGAAACTAAGCCATAATTGACATTTATGGCTGATGGCCCTAAACCCAACTAACCCTAACCGTATGCATGCGTAAATATCGGCCCGGGAATCCGGACAATATGATTTATGCAGCGGCGTAATTAGTGTCCTGCTTATGGGTGAATGTGGGATTCGGGTCGTCCTGCTGTCATCGTTGTTATTATCCTGCTGCCCTAATCACATTTCGCATAATGCGTAACTTAATAAAATAATAATATTCCCGAAATTATGCCGTTGCTAATTAGTTGCATAAATCAAGCCGTAAACCGGATGGATGGATGGCCTTTCCCCTTCCCATTTCCCATTTCACTTTTCCTTATTGCCTCGTTGCCTGGCTCTCAGCTAATTGATTTGAGTTGTAGACACGATTTTTGCATTTATCCGCCTAATTAAACGCCACTACACACATGCCAAGTTTATTTCGCAATAAAGGCTAACAAAGGGAGGGCCAACCGAATCTCGGTTGTTTCACACCTCGCTTTTCACCTCGCTTTTCACCTGGCTATCACTTGAACTTTCACTTCCGCTCCACTGGGTGCAAGTGAAATGTTTGCCGCTCTTAATTTATCATCGGGGGTTCATTTGGCGCAAGTGAGTCTGCGGTGTCATTACTTTTTGTGGCTTTGGGGTTTCGTGTCTGAGCTTAACATACCATCACATAAAAAGATATGCGTGGCATTATGATTGGGGTACACGTGTGCTCCAAGCACTGTCTGGATATTGGATAATGGAGTCGGGCTCGGAGAATGCTAAGCCAGGTTAAGGCAGCAATTGTGCGACCCGCCTGGATAACTTGTCCGCATCAAGCGCAAATTTCGCCCTCAGCGACCCAACAGCCATAAATCCCTCAGATTGCCTTCAATCTTAATGTAGGTCCTCGAACTCTTACGCTCGAATTGCTTCGCCTGCTGAGCTATTCAACATTCGGAGATAGAGATAAATAGTTTGCGTCAATATTGTTGATAAATTTGGGAATTGATTCAATGATAAGAAAAATAACAAGATAAATTACGAGTATTGTCGGAAAATGTTTATAATACTTCAAGTTCATTCAGTAAAGTTTAATTTTATTTTTCCATAAGATATAAAGTGCATAAGCCCAAGACGATTTATCTAGCCAAGAATATTAAAGACATTATTTTGGCAATATATATTTTAAGTTCCCATTTCGATTAACAAGTAACTTATACCGCCTCCGCAGTTTATAGCTCAGCACGGACCCAAGGCAATAAAATAAAATTATTATATTTGCCGGCTCTTTTGTGCGACAGATAAAATAGTTGCAGCTCTCACCGCTGCGCCAGCAATTGGCCATATATTCCGGAGATGCGAAATCGCGCCATTACAGAAGTCGAAAGCCGCGGGTCTGCGATTCCGCCAAATGTTTCTGGTCCTGTGGGTGGAAATGGATGTGGGGAAAAGGCAGCCATGTGAGCAATTTGATGGCTCCCGAACGGAGACCCTGGGCATCCAAAGGAGCCAGAATCGCAGAGGACTCGTAGGAGGGGAAATCGAATCAGGGAACCCGCAGCCCGCCGACAGATAAGCAGCTCTGATTTATTGCATCTAATTGCTCACGAGCCGATCCGCGAAACGTGCCCCAATAAGATTTCGGTGGGCTTCACACCTCAGCGGATTCATGGCGAATGCCAGAAGGGCATCGAAATCTATTGCCACACATTTCGTGGTCGGCGGTTTCTGCCAGCCGCCAATCAATTCCAACTGGAGTGGCCACGCTTCATTAAAACCAATTTCGATTGGCATTTCGACACAATTCAAAAGCGTTTCTGTCAGTGACATTTTATCAGATGAGCACGCAGGACCATAGAAAAGTTAAAACCACATAAAAACCATTAGAAATATGTTTAATCAAACAAAGAAAAATTCAATCAAATTGAAACAACCAGAAAGGGCTCTATTTTTAGTAACAATAAAGTACCTGAAACCTGAAAGCAAAGAACTAAGCCGATTCGCGAAGTAACAAAGCAAAAGCAAAATGTTCATGCATTTTTAAACGGAGGAAAAATATAAATAAGTTGGGCAACATTTAAGCTGCAAACTGAGAACAATTTCTTCTTCCTGTTGCCACCATCAAGAGTCTTAAAAAGCGAGGGAAGAAAGACTACTGAAAGCCATCAATGCCGGGTCAAAAGAAAAGGGAAATATTGTACCAATAATGAAATTTGCATGCACCAAGGAGGAGAGCTGCAGGTTTTGCTATCCGCCTTCACCAAACAATAGATGCAGAATACTCAGAATTTTTCATTAAATTTATATAAGGCACACATGCTGTGAACATTTCCCACTCACTTGGAAGCAAACTAATTTATTCAGAAATGTTTGAGCAGCGCAAATAAACGAGCTACGACTACATGACAACAATTTAATGAAATTCACTGTGGCAGCGACAAGAACAGCCTAATTAAATAACCACGCCCACTTCAGCGCACTTCGAGCGTAACGCTTGCCGTGCCACGCCCCCCAGCGGATATTTCCGCCCACTGAGCTGTCGGGGAATGGATAACTTTATAACTCGGGCTAACTTATTTTTTGCCACTCGAACGCTTTGCTTTCGCTTCGAGCACCTGCCAAAAAAACCTAAACCCACTTGAATTTAAAACTTTGTATCGGGGAAAAGTACAGAAATGATTTTTTGTTCATTAAGAGACAACAATTTTGTTTAACAGTTTTTATAAAAAAAAAATGGTATTTTTGATGAAAACCACTACTTAAAATTGACAACCAAAAAAGTACAGATGAATCAATCAAATGTGAAAGTATCCAACAAAATTAATCCGTTTTTTTTCCATTGCAAAATTCATTTTTTCCCATGGGGCATGTCTCCCAATCATTTGCATCTATTCTTTTACAAAAAGCATGTTTTATGCTCAATGGACCCCATAATTAACTTACAAATATTTGAGGAAAACGAAAACCGATATGCTCAATTTTCAAAGCTAAAATTAAAGCTATTTAATTTAAGGGATTTTTAAGTTTTTAACTTTCCCTTGTTTTAAAACTTTGTCACAGAACTTTGCTCAAACATCCATGGAAAATATTACGATAAAACTGAAAAAAAAAGAATAAAAGTTTTTCGGTGTAATGTAAAAATTGCTTACTTTGTTTTTCGAGTGAACCCAAATATAAAGTTGCTAACATAAAATTAAATTTCAACCTTTCTCTCGTTGTCGTCATGCAACACAAGAGTAAAAATGAAATGGATAGAGAGAAGTGGGTCAATAAAATGCAAGTAATGCATAAATTTGCAGCAGAAACTGGAACTCGTAACGGTGGCAGGGCTCAGAAAACCGGGAATTGTGCTGTGCCCCCAAGGAAAACCGGAAGCATTAAAATAAATAAAAATTAATTGGTATGTTACGAGTCGCGTGGGCGGGAAAATACCGAGAAAATGGAGGCGATGGAAGCAAGTTACTGGGCATTCAGGGCATCCAGAGCCAAACAACTGGAGTCCAAACAGTTGGACAGCTGAGTCAACTGCCCTCAAAAGGAGGCTATGCATATGCACAAGGGGCGTGGCAAACAGATACAGAGAGCGAATGAAAAGCAGCTTTTGCACCACTTCAGTTGGAGTGTATTAACACAGCATATAAAGAAAATATTACAGGAAAATAAAGTGAAGTGAAGAATACTACTCTTCGAACGGCAACATTTTCGCTGGAGTTTTCCCTTTTCACGATAACC